TCTTAGAGACATCATCAATGCATCCCTTAGGGAAGGTCATATTCCATCATGTCTGAAGCAAGCGGTGGTTAGGCCGCACCTGAAAAGACCTTCCCTGGACCCTGTGGACATGAACACTATAGGCCAGTCTCGCTATTACCTTTTCTGAACAAAGTGATCGAGAAGGCAGTTGCTCTTCAACTCCAAGCTGTCTTGAAGGAAACTGATTATCTAGATCCATTTCAAACTGGCTTTAGGACAGGATATGGAGTTGAGACTGCCATAGTCGCCTTAGCTGATGACCTTCGTCTGGTCATCAACAGGGGTCGTGTGACCCTGTTTGTGCTATTGGACCTCTCAGAGGCCTTTGATACAATAGATCATGACATCCTCTTGGATCGCCTGAGAAGGTTAGGAATTGGAGGAATTGCATTGCAATGGTTCCATTCCTTCTTCTCAGGCACATTCCAGAGAGTGATGCTCAGGAACAGTCGCTCTGCAAGGAAAGAGCTTAATTGTGGCATCCCACAAGATGCTACCCTGTCCCCGATGCTATTCAATGTATATATGAAGCTGTTGGGAGAGATCATCCAGAGACATGGGAAAGGTTGTTATCAGTACGATGATGAAACCCAGATATATTTCTCCATGTCTCGGTCTTCAGCTTTGACTTCAGATGGCGTCTCTCCTCTCAATGACTGTCTTAAGGCAGTAATGGACTGGATGAGTAAAAACAGATTGAGACTGAATCCAGACAAAATGGAGGTACTTACAGTAGTGACCCCAAACCTAGATATTGGGTTGCAATCTCCAGTCCTGAATGGGGTCACACTCTCATCTAAGACTGTGTTCCCAGTCTGGGGGTGCTCCTGGACCTTAAGATGATAAATCAGGTAAATGTGCTGGTCAGGAATGCCAGCTTCAGTTTATACACCAGCTGTGGCCTGACCTAGAAGTTAGGGACCTTGAAATTTTGGTGCATGCGCTGGTAACCTCTCGTCTTGATTTCTGTAATGCACTCTACAGGAGGCTAACCTCGTACATGGTCCGGAAACTTCAACTAGTACAGAATATGGCAGCCAGGTTGGTCTCAGGAACAACGCGAAGAGACCATATAACACTGATCCAAAGATCACTTCACTGGTTTCCCATTAATTTCCAGGCCCAGTACAAGCCCTAAATGGCTTGGGTCCAACCTGTCTTGGGGACCGCCTCCTCCCGTATAATCCACCCCGTACACTTAGGTCCTCTGGGAGGAATTTGTTGCAGCCTATAAAAACTAGATTCTCTGCAACAGCCCAGAGGACCTTTTCGGCTACCCTCCCAGATTATGGAATGGCCTGCCAGATGAGATCTGTCATATTACCACCTTAGACAGCTTTAAAAAGGCAGTTAAGACAGATCTCTTCTGGCAGACCTTTCCCAAATAGATATCCTGGCCATAAAAAGACAGCCATCCTGCTCATTCCTGGTTCGGTTGTAGCTATTGTTATTTGTTTATTTGGGTTATTATTTTAAATGCGTGTTAATCTGTCATTATTTAATTGTATTTTAAGGTGGGTGGGATTGTGGGATATAAATGTATATTTAAAAGTTGTAAGCCATCCCAGTTGCACTGCTCGGGGGGGCGGGATAAAAATAATTTGGTGTTGTTGTTGTTGTTGTTGCTGCTGCTGCTGCTGCTTGGGGGCACCCTAGTATCTCTGAGCAACATCATGCAAAGGCCCTTGGCACCCTTTTCGACCATATTCGGGGCATTAGATATT